ATTAATGATGCACCTTATTCATCTAAGCATAGAGATTTTTGTGTCCGTATGAAGAAGAACTTTCATCTCATTATTACGGTATCTTAAATCAATTTCGTACTATCGTGATGAACTTGGAATATTTTCACTTGGTCATCTTTGTTGTAAGTAAGGTTCTCTTCTATGCAATGGGATGATGATTGTGCCAATTTTTCAAATCAATTATATATGTACTATCATGCATGAAGTACAAAATGTAAAGAATGGACTCAGAAAATAGTCGTTTGGGTTATCTATTGACCTAAGATATCGACACAAGAGGATTTTATTGATCTGAAATACTGTCACAATGAAATACTGTAGTAAGTTTCTCTAGTGTGTATGGTACGGTGTACCCTCGTGCACCCATCATTGCACTGTGCTTAGGCTTATAAATATAAACTTTCTGACCTTAACCTCACTTCCTGTAGCAGCCCTCTTGTCCGCTCTACAGTGGATACAGAGATTTTGAACCAGTGGTTTCCTCCTCCTCCACCAAAGGATTCAACTTTTGCTACTATGGTGGAAACTCAGACTCAGAAGCAGCAGAGCAACCCCATCAATGGCGTCAATGGGATCCACAACCACCACCATGACGAAGCAGATTTCGACCCAAGTGCCCCTCCTCCATTCAAGATAGCTGAGATCCGAGCTGCCATTCCCCAACACTGCTGGATCAAGGATCCATGGAGGTCTCTGAGCTATGTTTTCAGGGATTTGTTTGCGATTTCTGCAATGGCAGCTGCTGCCATTTACTTGGAAAGTTGGTATCTTTGGCCTTTGTACTGGGCTGCTCAGGGAACCATGTTCTGGGCTGTCTTTGTTCTCGGACATGATTGGTAATTTTCCCTCACTCACTCACTCACTTCATCCTCCATTTTCTGTACATTTTTCTGCATCTGCTTGCTTCTAATGTGGTTGGTTTTTGGATTGAACAGTGGCCATGGAAGCTTTTCAGACAGTAGAATTCTGAACAGTGTTGTGGGGCATATATTGCATTCTGCAATTCTTGTACCTTATAATGGATGGTGGGTTCCTCGTATATCTCTTTGCTTCATAACCTGCTTCAAATGATTTTTTTTCGTGAAGTGATTTTCGAGCTCCAGTTTTATCTCCCCTGCATTTCTCCCGTTTGTTCTAGCCTGTGGATTGAATAAATCGAAAGAGAATAAGTGATGGAAACAAGAGGAGTGCACAAGAAAACGAGAGTGTGAAAATCACTACCGTGTTATTTCTTTCTATTTTTGACCTTTTAGCCTTTCCTTTTGAAAATGTTGTTGATTTTTTAATCTGATTTAAATTTTTACATTTTCATGTGATTTCTCCAGGAGAATTAGCCACAGAACTCACCATCAGAACCATGGACATGTTGAGAACGATGAGTCATGGGTTCCTGTAAGTGCTTCTCTTAATTCAAACTGTTTCATCTATTATTAATCATAATGCTCTTACTTTGCACAACAGAAATAATTAGTTCTGGAATCTAAATCTGCTGATGCTGCTTTACTTAATTTTCAATTAGTAATTGATTAACCTGTATGTTTGTTGTTATCTTTTTGGATATAGTTGACTGAGAAGGTTTATTCGAGTCTCGATGAAAGTACCCTGAAATTCAGATTCAGTGTGCCTTACCCCATTTTTGCATATCCTTTCTATCTGGTGAGAAAAAACCATCTTTTATTGCTCATACGTTTTTTGAAGAGTGATTTTCGCGCTCCCCTTTTCTCCCCGCACTTCTCCCTTTTGTTCGAGCCTATTGATTGAAGAAATCAAAGAAGAATCAAGGGCGAGAAACAAGAGGAGTGCAGGCGAAGAAAACTGAGTGTCGTGTAATGTTTAGGTCCAAAATTGTGTGTTTCTGATGGTTCATGAAGCTAAATTTTGCCTCTTTTTTCGGTTGGGTTGCCTTTCGCTATCAGTGGACTAGAAGTCCAGGAAAGCAAGGTTCTCATTTCAATCCGTACAGTGACTTGTTTGCCCCAAATGAAAGGAGAGATGTGATAACATCAACTACTTGCTTGACTATGATGGTTTCCCTGCTTGTTTATCTGTCATTTGTCGTAGGCCCTGTCCAAATCCTCAAGCTTTATGGTGTCCCTTACTGGGTTAGTCCAATTTTTCTTCCTGATAAGTTGCACTTACCTGCAGACAGTTTTTTTTTTCCTTATTCTCATCAACTTCGGCTTGCAGATTTTCGTAATGTGGTTGGACATGGTCACATATTTGCATCACCATGGTTATGACGAAAAACTTCCTTGGTACCGCGGCAAGGTAAAACTGATACATTAACCCTACTACGTTGATCATACATGCTGCAAGTGAAGATCGTATCAGAAGGGTTAAATCAATTAAGACTCTTAATTAAGAAGCTCTATTTCCTCTCATGGTTTTAATTCTGCAGGAATGGAGTTACCTACGAGGAGGCCTCACAACCGTTGATCGCGATTATGGAATGTTCAACAACATCCACCATGACATCGGCACTCATGTTATCCATCATCTCTTCCCTCAAATCCCACACTACCACCTAAGGGAAGCAGTATGTTACTTGCCATGCTCCTCCCCACTTAAAACAAATTAACCTTCTATTCACAATTTACAGATATTAGCCCTGCTTGTTGATTCTAATGGTTGCATTCACATGATTATATTGCAGACCGAGGCAGCTAAACCGGTTTTGGGGAAGTACTACCGGGAGCCGAAGAAATCCGGGCCGTTTCCGGTTCACTTGATTGATAATCTGTTGTCAAGCATGAGCATTGATCACTATGTTAGTGACACCGGAGACATTGTATACTACCAGACAGACCCCAAGCTGTTCAAAAGCCTCAAGGGCAAGTCCAATTGACTTTTCTTTTTTTGGGGTTAGCTCAATTGGGAAGGCAGATATGAATTGTTTTCTGTATTGCATTATCTGCCTAAAACCTTGAGAAGGATACTTGTATTTGGTGATTTGTTTAGTTTCTAGCAAATAAACAATAAACAAGATTGTTAGTTTGCCTCGTCCCGTGAGTTATCCTATCCAAGCTAATTTTAGACAACAAACAAGGCCAAAGAGTAGATGAAATCGCAAGAAAACACAAAATATTTTTCTTCACCACCCCCCTAAAGTTTTTCATATGAAGTGTCGTCGTGAATAATGTGTTGCATTTTTATTTTTTAAATTTAGAGATATGGTATGATGTTATGTGGGTGAGGAAAAAAAAAAAAAAACAAGAAGATTTGGTTTGTATGAAGTTACATTACTGCCGATGATTTTATTTTGTGATATAAAATCAAATTGTTTTTTCATCATCTTTTGGTTGACAAAAAATGTTTTATTAATAGGTACACTAGCAATCAATACGCACGCGTGTACAATTAAGTTTGTTTTTTAATTTACTGAAATTTATAATGACTAAGAATAGCAATTGAAAAATAAAAATTAAATTAAATTAAAAAAAAAAAAGAAAAAGAGACTGATCCATGCTGCTCTCTGTTCTCCATCTTCCAACATTTTTCACACTGTACCAAAGCCACCTCCCCCACCTTCCCCTTCCTTCCCCACTGGTACATCCCCACGTCTCATCGCCCCCAACTATACCCACCAAATCCCCAGCGCCAATCACTTCAATTGCAGATGCGAATCTTTTAAGTTAATTTTAATTTTTAAATAAGACTGTTATTATTACCTTGAGGTTCAGGTAAAAAACAGTAAAATTCGTTTTCATGTAATTATTGAATTGCCCATAATTTTTATTTATGTTCAGTTTTAATTAGAAGGTTAGCATGGTAATTTTTATTGTGTTTTGGTTGACAATAAAAGTTTTATTAATATGTAGTTTAGATTAGATAAAGAGAGAAGGCAAAAAGGCGAAACTTTCATAATATCCAAATTACTCTTCTTCCATTAGAATATCAAAAAAAAAAAATTTAAAAAAAATCATAAGAAAACCTACATATTAGAACTATGGGTGGTTACGTTTATTATTTTTTTAAATATATTTGAATGAAAATAATAATATCTACCATAAATAAAACTAAAAAAAATATTAAACAATAAAAAAAAAGTCAATTGCTAAACACTTAAGGGTGTGAAGAGATTTGTGTATATTTAGGACTCGGACGCAGAGGCGCAGGAGAAAGGTGGTGCAGAAGCAGAGGCGAAGTGGTTAGGATCGAGAAGTTGTTAGACAAATAGCGATAAAATCATGATGAGAAAACTATTTCTGTATTTCCTTAATCAACAAGGTAACATTCTGGTGCATATATATACAAGTAAGAGATCCTTCCTTCTAGCTAATGACAGCTCATCTAACTAATTACAGTTAGGAAAACTAACAGAAAATAATCAACTTGGTTTACAATGCTACCCTTAATATGTCCAAAGAATATGTGTCTAAAGATAAAAATTGGGTGCCCAAACAACACTCTGACCGGATCCACAACTTGAGTGCAGAAATCGATAAAACTATTCGTTCTACAAGCCCAAAATTATTTGGGCTACACACAATGAGCTGAGACCAATATCTCAAAAGGTCCAAATAACCATCTTCCACTCTCTCTCTCTCATCTCTGGAAAATAACTTTTTGGCATATTACAGTAAGCTGTTATTTTCCATTAAATTTAAATTTAATCCTTGGGTTAAGCAGTTAAGCATCTGTAATTGTCACCCACGAACCCCTCATTACTTAATTAACTATACTACTGCATTATAATTTGTTCTCGTAATCCAACTCTGATGGCTAATTATTTGTAATTGTCACCCACCAACACCTCATTACTTAATTATTTGTTCTAGTTGTCCAACTCTGATGGTTAAACAAATTCAACTTAAAACTTGAAATAAATAGTCACTTGAATTTTTTTATGCATTATAATTTGACTGGGTTTAATATATTATAATTTGGAGAATTTTCAACTCAGTTAGCTGGATCCATATATCAAGACAGCGTGTCCCCGTCTAATTTTTGTTGAATTCAAAGTTAGGATACGTAATATAATTGACTTGGCTTTTGCCTTGAAAACTATGATCTTGGTAGAGGAAGGACACTTGCACAACCATCCTGCCTTTCTTCTTCATATAAACTTTCCTATTTGTTTCACTAATCCACTGTCAGTTGATTCCAAACACTAAACATGGCTGATGCGATCGTTTCCGTGCTGCTAGAGCGGTTGGCTTCAGCAACTTTTCATTACATAGAAGATAAGGTGAAAAACGTTTTGGACGTTAAGAAATACGTTCAAGAATTCACTAGCAATCTCAAAGCTGTTCAAGCTGTGCTTCAGGACGCTGAGCGAAGGCAAGTGGAGGACGAAAGCGTGAGAAACTGGTTGGATAACCTCAAGGAAATATCATACCAGATGGGGGATGTGCTGGATGAGTGGAACTATGAGATTCTGAGGCAACAGGTTGAGAAGCAAGAAAGAGAAGGTGCAGCTGCTCTTGTTCCTGAAAAGAAGGTCAGATTTTCTGTTTCCTCTGGTTGCTTTTGTTTTGGCCTAGTCAGTCAGGTCTTTCTTCATGATGACATTGCTGCTAGGATAAAAGAGCTGAATGAGAGTTTAACTTTGATTTATAAGCAAAGAAAAATGTATGGGTTTCACATAGAGAAAGGCACTCAACGACTTGAACAACGGATAACTTCGTCTTTCGTCGATGTATCTAACATCTTTGGACGAGAAAACGAAAAAGATGTTTTGATAACAAAGTTGTTGACTGATGGTAGTGAACAAGGGAGGGGGACCTTTATCATCCCTATTGTAGGGATGGGAGGAATGGGCAAAACAACTTTGGCCCAACTAGTATATAATGATCCCAAAGTTAAAACCCATTTTGAAAAGAGAATATGGGTTTGTGTGTCAGATCCTTTCGAGGAGATTAAGATTGCCACAGCTATTATTGGTAATGACCCCCCAAGTTTAAATGAGTTGGACGATGTCTTGCGGCGTGTGTCTAAATTCATTGAGGGCAAAAGGTTTCTCCTTGTCCTTGATGATGTGTGGACCCAAGACCGTGAAAAGTGGGAGCAATTAGAGGTAGCATTGATCCAAAGTGGTGCTAAAGGCAGTAGAATATTGGTGACAACAAGAAAACATGAGGTTGTTGATATGATGAGAGCAACAAGTCACATGATGGGAGAATTGAGTGAACAGTCTTGTTTGTCAATCTTCAATCACATGGCCTTTTATGATAGGGAAGTAGATGAATCCAAGAAGTTTGAAGATATTAGTCATGAAATTGTAAAGAAGTGTAAGGGTTTGCCTCTTGCTGCAAAGACTTTAGGTAGTCTGATGCACAACAAGAGAACACGGAGAGAATGGAAAGATGTTTTGAGCAGTAAAATATGGGATCTAGAAGATGTCGAGCAAAAAGTTTTCCAACCACTGTTACTAAGTTATTATGATTTGACCCCAACAGTTAAATGTTGCCTATTATATTGTGTTGTTTTTCCTAAAGACTATGAGTTTGACAGAGATTGTTTGATTAATCTCTGGATGGCACAAGATTACCTTAATTCGAAAGGGAATAAAGATAAGGGAATGATTGGTCAAACATATTTTGATAACTTAGTAGCACATTCTTTTTTTCAAGATTTTGAGAAAGATCGTGGTAGTGGTAAAGTCGTAAGTTGCAAAATGCATGATATTGTGCATGACTTTCTGCAATTTCTCACCAAGAATGAATGCTTGATTATTGAGGGTGAGGGTGCCACCAATGAAATAGCAGTAGTGGGTGATAAGGTTCGCCATTTGACCTTAGCTTCAGTACCCGAGGGTCCACTTTCACCAGCTATCTCATTTTCCAATTGCAAAAATCTACGCACACTCGCAACTTTTAAATCAAAAATAACTGCAATAAGCTCAGATTTTATTTTGCAATTGAAATGTCTTAGGACATTAATTTTGAGTGGTGACTTGGTGTATGGTAATGGCTTACGTCAAAGAACTCCAAGAGGAGATTGGACAATTGATACATCTGAAGCATATTGATTTGTCTCTTAATAGTAGTTTGGAAGAAATTACCGGATGCTATTTGTGAATTGTACAATTTGTGTACCTTGCGCCTTTTTTGTTGTGGCTCACACTCGAAGAACTACCTGATAACATGGGAAAATTGATTAGCTTAAAATATCTTTATATTGAAGGATGCTGTTTTCTCGAGTACTTACCAAAAGGGATTGGGAGGTTAACAAGTTTGCAGACACTGGATACGTTTGTTGTGTGTTGCGGTGACAAGGAAGAAGCATTACAATTTGAAGATCTGAGAACGTTGAAACTTCAGGGTAGTCTCGTAGTAAAGGTTTCTGGGGATGTAAAAGATGTGAGCGAGGTTGAGAAAGCTCAATTGTGGGATCAAAAGAAACTTTTTCATCTCGGAATAAATTGTAGAGATATGCACTACAGGCAGACAAAAAGCAGTGTAGAAATATTGAATGTCTTACGACCGCACAAAGATTTGGAAGCTTTGGACATTCTTGCGCATGCTGGGACCGCCTGGCCAATTTGGATGGCGTCGTTAAACCAGTTGAGAATCGTTACCATTGTATGGTGGGAAGAGTGAATTTTTGCCTCCTCTTGGGAAACTTCCGGCCCTTGAAATACTGACCATAGCTGAGATGCGCAGAGTGAGAAAGGTTGGTGGTGAATTTTTGGGAATAGAAGATCAAACATCATTCAAATCATCGCCATCATTATTCCCAAAATTGAACAACTCCGCCTTCGCAGAATGCGTAAATGGGAAGAGTGGGAAGGCGTGGAAGGGTGGAAGAAAGAAGAATCTGAAATTACAATCATGCCATGCCTTTCTTACTTAGAAATTTATTTCTGCTTTGATTTAAAGACACTGCCCGACTTCCTTTGCAAAGTACCACTACAGAATCTTATCTTCAACGAATGTTCGAGCATACTTGAAAAGCGTTGCGAAGAAGGCAGTGGAGAGGAGTGGCCCAAGATTTCTCATATCCCAAACATCCATTTTCTATCCGAAATAAGGACTCCAAATCTATTGCATCCTGAAAATAGAAATTGGCGGACCCTGGATTTTGTTTCTGGTAATTGAACTATTATGTAGATATTTATGTATGAGATTATCAATTGTCACTGCCATTATATTGTTTACTTATTTTTCTTTTAAATCTTCAGATGATTTCTGGACGTTATTTTGATCAGGAGCAATCCGAGGATTACTGATGCTGATGGGTAATTTCTTCAACTATCAAGGCTTGTTTTGATTTAAGCTAGAGGGTTTGTTTCACTTTCTTGTATCTTTTTTGTTTTCGTTTCTAGAAGGGGTAAGGTTTATGTCTTTTCTTTTTTTGCATGTTTTTTTCCTTGTACTATGAGGGGTTAGGTCTATGATCTCCATGATTAGGTGTAATTTCTTTTTTCGTTATCAACAAAATATCTTCATAACGCCGAGGTTTTCTTTAAAAAAAACCCAAATATGTTTAGGTTACACAGAAGGAACTGAGCCCAATTTTTCCATGAGGTCCAAAGAATATTATCCGCTACCTGCATCAATGGATCAATGGATCGAGCACAGCTTGTTCTAGTGGGGCTACCGCTTTTCCCCTTCTGCACCGACCTCCTAAACCTCTTCACTCCGCCCCCTCCTCCACCCAACAAGCCTCCCCACCACCACCACCACCACCACCACCTCCAACACCAACCTGCTCCAGTTGCCAAAGATATTTCAATCTGAATTCCTCTTAAATTCCCAATCTTTGTTGCAATTGATTCCATATTTTTATCGTATTCTAATTTCCGTCTGTAATTCTTTGGTTTGATCGGATTTCAGAAACCAACCGCTTTCGGGGCAATCGGCGACGGCAGCACGGTCAATTAGCTTCTGCACTTCTTGCTCTTACAAGTAATTCTCTTGTTTCTTGTGTGATTTCTTGAATTGGGTTTTTAATTTTATGTCGAATTATGATGTGGGATAATAGAAGATCAATTGAACAGCTATTCAATAGAAAACTGAATTATTATTCGGACCCTGGGGTTTATCCTTTAAGCTGTAAAATGCTCTTGATTTATCTGTTAGCTCCGAATTAATGCTCCGAGAAATATGTGGTTTTCTACTTGTTTTGCTCTGAACATGTTAGATTGGATCCTCGGGGTTGGGCTATATTTACTTATCGAAAGTATTTGCATTTGGTAGGGGGAATGCGGTAACAATGACGAAGATGTTGGAGGCTGCGTTTCCTGGAATTCATGTTGAACTTTCGAACTGTCCCCTGCCCCTTCCAAAGCGTGTGGTCAGCAAGCTGGTTCCGTTGCTCAAGTTGGAGTTTTTGGGATTATAATGGCGGGCGAGCAGATATTTCCTATGTTGGGGATTACGACACCTCCTGCTTGGTATTATTCTCTTCGTGCAAATAGATTTGGTACCATTGCATCCACTTGGCTTCTAGGCAATGCATTGCAGTCCTTCCTCCAAGGCACTGGTGCTTTCGAAGTTTACCTCGATGAATTGGTGCGCAAACCCCTTTTTCTTCTTGCTGGGAGCTAGATTATCATTTCCTGTTCGTTTAATTCCTTTTGTGAAAACAGCTTTTGGCCTTTTCAATAACGCTCGTCTTTGATTGATGCACACGATTTACTGTTAGCTTCTGTTCTCTTGTATATTGCAGGTTTTCTCTAAGCTGAAGGAGGGAAGATTTCCGGGAGAGACTAAGAGTGCCATTGTGAGTAAGTTGGGTAGTTCAAGAATCACAGACTCGGCTTTATGGTCCTAGTCTAGCAGCTTGATTGGAAAGTCCAAATGATTGTGGTTGGAGTATCAAGCTTGCATCGCATACTTGCTTAGTAGGTTCAAAGGCTTCGAGCTAGGAGTTGTATTGAATTGTCACTGTTATACAAACAAGACACATCAATAGAATGTGTTGTGGATAGATTATGCATCAATAGAATGTTTTGTGGATAGTTGTAATGAACAGTTTCCCATCCAGGTTCGCGTTCGTCTCAATTCCTCAACCATTTCGTTTTCTCTCTTCTTTTTTTCCTTTGATTTTTGAAAATTTTGGAATTTCGAAAGATTTGATTGGAATAAAATTTAGGGTTTTTTGATGGATTTTTAGTGTTCATTGTGAATTGTTTAATCAAATTCAAATTTGAATCTCGAAATTTGGTTGTTCAGTTCACCGTACTTGTTCTATTTCAATATGAATATGATTGTTTGAATCTGTAATTTCTGTTTGGTTCCGAGAAAATGTGCGATCAGAAACAAAAACTCCATATATGATGAGATTTGCATATTTATATTGAAATTTGGAACTTACAGAACTTTTTCATCTCTTCACCCACTCGAATTTTCCAAATTTTTTTGTTATTTCTCGATTCTGAAGTGTATTTCTAATGGAAATTGGGAAATTAGTATTTCGTTTATCCCTATCGAGCTTAATTTTCTCTGTTTTCGTAGAAATCCAAGCTTGAAACAAAATGTCTGGGCCTGGCAAAGGAGGCAAAGGTCTAGGAAAGGGAAGAGCAAAACGTCACTGTAAGGTTCTCTGCGACAACATCCAGGGCATCACCAAGTCGACCATCCGCCGTTCGGCTCGCAGAGGCGGTGTAAAGCGTATCAGCGGCTTGATCTACGAGGAGACACGTGGCGTGCTCAAGATCTTCTTGGAGAACGTGATCATAGGCGTTGTGACATACACCGAGCATGCTAGCCGCAAGACCGTGACCTCCATGGATGTGGTCTAAGCACTCAAGAGGTAGGGCAGGACCCTTTACGGGTTCAGTGGCTAGGGTTTATTTCAGGTTATTGAAGTCTTGCTGTTAAGAAATGGGTTAATGGGTTGGATCTAGTGGTTAGTTACCTATTAATTAGGTGTTTTTACTTTTTTTGTTGCGGTCTATTTTATCTGACAGAGGGACTAGGGCCGGCGGCAGAGAGAGAGATGAGAGAGATGTGTGTTTGTAGAATTGTAGGGGAATGTGTGTGTTGTTATCCCTCCTACATTGTGCCTTTATTTATAGTAGTAAAGGGAGAGAAGATATTTCTTCTCCTCCAAGTAATACAAGTTGTAATAGGAAAGGATAACTAGAATCAAATCTTATCTAGGATTTACACAATCATACTTAAACTAGGAATGTTTACAACACTCCCCCTTGAGTGGGTAAATACTCAAGGTAGATTCAGCATCATGCAGAAGTTGAGGAAGTCGACTCGTTGGCATTGATTCCAAGGAACAACGCTTATTCTCAATAAGGTAGGAACTTGCATAAGTAGTAAGTCTTACTAAAAAACCCTAAGGCTATGGCAAAAACCCAAGTAGGGACAAAATCCATAGTCTAAGGAAAAATGCGTGAGAAATGCAAAGTCAAAAGAAACGTCTACAGGACGTCATCAGGGATATGACCAGCCCAAGGTGGGTGCCTCGTTAAAACCTAGTTAGGTAGAAAAAAACCCAGTGGGAAAAATGCTACTAATCGTAGGGAAAAAGAGTACATTAAGATCAAGCAAGTATCTAGAAGATACTCCCCCTGAGTTTGACATAATTCCACAGAGAAATAGCAAAGTTACAACTCAGAAAGTTTACGCATACCAATTCCATGAACAAGCTTCTGAAACGTCGCCTTCGGTAGTGATTTGGTGAAGAGGTCGGCCAGATTGTCTTGTGATCGGATTTGCGTGACTTCAATCTTCTGATGCTCTTGTTGTTGATGTGTAAAGAAGAACTTCGGCGCAATATGCTTGGTGTTGTCTCCTTTGATGTAACCCTTCTTGAGCTGTTCGATGCAAGCTGCGTTGTCTTCAAAAATCGTCGTCGGGGCATTAACGGCGGGATGAAGATCACAGGAGCTTCGAATATGGCCCACTACTGCTCTCAACCAAAAGCATTCCCGATTTGCTTCATGTAAGGCGAGAATTTCAGCATGGTTAGACGAAGTGGCTCTGTTGATCGTTTCCGCTAAGTTTCTTTTACTCTAAGCCAAGATGGCTGGAGAACATTATGAAGCTGAGTGCTCGATGGATGCTCTGTTGATCGTTTCCGCTAAGTTTCTTTTACTCTAAGCCAAGATGGCTGGAGAACATTTACTCTAAGCCAAGATGGCTGGAGAGCATTTACTCTAAGCCAAGATGGCTAGAGAAACATAGAAGCTGAGAGCTCGATGGATGCTTTAGCTCTACCTAACGTTGTTCAAGTTTGTGGCACGAAGCCATTATTCTTTGTTTGCGGCACGAAGCCAGCCATTATTCTTTGTTTGCGGCACGAAGCCATTTCAAGTTTGTTTGTTTGCGGCACGAAGCCATTACTGTTTGTTTGCGGCACGAAGCCATTTCAAGTGGGAATTTGGTAACATGGCGCAGCAAGAAGCAAAGCGTTATTTTTACTAAAACCTCTCTACGGTTCAGTTCATGCGCATTCTGTCCAAGCTTGGCTCAAGGAATCCCCTCGATCCAGCTTGAGGGGGAGTGTTGGAATGCATGCAAGTCATATCTTTTGTTAAAATGCATGCATGAAATAAACATGTTGGATGACTAGTGAAGTTAGGCTAGTCAACCTTCTTTGTGTAAATTAGGCAAGTTAGGCAAGTTAGGAAATTAGGCAAGTTAGGTAAGTTAGGCAAGTTAGGCTTATGTTCTCTTTCTTTTCCTATATAATGTTTCATCTTGTAATTGTTTTGATATGAAATACACATCCAAAATTCAACAAAGATTAATCTGAGAAATTTTAATTACAGAAGTGGTTGAATTTTGTCTGGGTTGGCCTGGCCGCTGCAGGAACTGTCACCCCAGGCCAATCTCACGTCTTCACCTTGCCGGCACTGAACAATCATCAGCATCGTCGAATCTTTGCCGAACGGGAGCCTAGTAGAAGGAGGAAGGAGGAAGGAGGACGCGGGGGGGGGGGGGGGTGGTGTGGAGACAGATGAGTGGGGAAGAAGAGGGTGAGATGGATAGGGGTAGGGCCACAATATTAAAGTTTCTTAATTATTTTATGTTTAGTTTTAAATTTTAAATATGTTTTAAAAATTAAAACTAAAAGGAATAAAGTAATTGTTTAAAAAGTTAATTTTGATTGGTTAGAGGGACACATAGCAAACCATAATAGGTGGTGAACATATCCTATTGATAAGGGTAGTGAATAAATAAGGTTTTTTTTATCACAAATGATCCTTAAAATTGACCCACCCTATCAAGATGGTCCCTGAAATTGAAAATCAATCAATGTAGTTCCTGAAATTGGGTATCACAAATCAATGTAATTATTCCGTCATAACTCCGTTAAAAATTCTATTATGTGATGGCAAGTGACGTGACACACTTTATATTAAAAAAACTAAAAAAAATATTATTAAAAACTAAAAAAAAATCATTTAATATTTTTTAAATGTTAAAATAATAATTAATTATTAAAAAAAAAACCCATGTGTGTCAAACTCCACCCCGTCCGTTTCTCCCCCAGCCCCTGCAACCCGAAGAAGAGAAAGAGAAAAAAAAAAAAAAAAACCTTCTCCCCCACCCCCTGGAACCGAAGAAGAAGAAAAAAAAAAACTCTTCTCCCCCACCCCCTACAACCCGACGAAGAAGAAGAGAAAAAAAAAAAACCCTTTTCCCCCCACCCCTTGCAACCCGAAGAAGAAGAAGAAATATATATATTAAATGATTTTTTTTTTAGTTTTTAATAATATTTTTTTTAGTTTTTTAATATAAAGTGTGCCACGTCATTTGTCACATCAGCATATAACAGAATTTTTAACGAAATTATGACGGAATGACTACATTGATTTGCGACACCCAATTTCAGGGACTACATTTATTGATTTTCAATTTCAAGTACCATCTTGATGAGGTGAGTCAATTTCAGAGACCATTTGTGATAAAAACCCGAATAAATATGCTTCCTTATTTAGTTCAACTTGGTAAATTTATTTCAAGTTACTTCTATAAAACGTGGACCACTGCATCTTTATATCCACTTAAACTTGAACATTTGAGTTACAGAAATCTGATATCTCAAAATGGTTCCAAAGTGAATTTTGTTAAATTAGCAACGATAAAATTTACATAACCGCCGCCGTGAAAAGGTACAACAACTTTTTGCATGGGAATATTTCTATTTTACCTTTCTGTTTTTTGTGATTTTTTTTTACAGCTGTCAACCGTGGCAAGTTAGAGTTGATTGTGATGGCCACTTGAAATGTGAGATCGTTTTAGAGCTGGAAAGTGATTTTTTTTTTTTTTTTGTAGAGAGGATCCTCCAGAGGATATTAGGAATATTTTAATCATATTCGTTTATTGTATATCGTGCGATCAGTTTTTGTTAAGTACTGTTTATATTTAATTTTAAATAAAAATTTTAAAATAATTTATGATCACATAATGTACAATAAATGAATATTATTGAAGAATCTCCAAGATCCTACTATTATCCTCCTGGATTTTTTTGGTAGAAGAGCTAGAAAGTGATTTGTTCGATGAATAATTGAAGTAATGGGTCCCAGTTTTGAGATACAATTAGTGCAAGTTGTAAGTATCTAACATGAGTTTTCTTTCTGAAAATTAATATGGTGTATGCAACCAAAAGTGACTATGACTTGATTGGTTTCGGTTGTTTTAGGTGGCATTTTCTTCCAAGTTTGGTACAATGTCATTGTTTCCAAATTTTTCATTTGATAGAAACATCATGTAATATAAAGTTATAATAATATATTTATCAAACCATTAAAAATATATAAATTAGTATATAATATTTCAATATGCATCTATAATGTGACGATTTGTTTGAAACGTGTAAATTACTGATACTGTAGCCACATCACAAATTTCGTGTTTGAATTTTTTTTTTTCCCTCTCTAATGTCGTAGAATAAAAAATAGTTTGATAATTTTTTTTATATTTTTATAAATTTAGAAGGTAAAGAAATATTAGAGAATGTAAACACAAAAAAAGTTAAATTCTTTATTACTTTCTTTGGCGTGTAAAAAGAGTCAAAGCAAAAAAAAGAAAAAGCCAAAATACTTGGTACAAATGTTGGAAATTCATTACGGAGCTTTCACCTTACAAGAAAGGGCAACCGAAAGATGACAACAGGGCTTTGATAAATAAAAAGAAAAACTAATGAAAAAGGTTTAAAAATTTTGAGTTTTAACACAAAATAAAGGGTAAAATAAATAGTAACAAAATTAACTTTTTAGTGTAAAAATATTATTTTTTGTTAAAGTAAACAGCACCGAACTTTTCGTTAAAGTTCTTTAAATAACAAAAATGACAGGGTTTGATAAACCAAAAAGATGACAACGACGGCGGCAAGTTGCGGAAGATGTCAGAGCAAGGTTTGATCCACACAATGCGATTGCGGTTGCGAGTGTACACACGTAATAGACTAGTTTCTTCTTTTCACATTGTAATATTCTAAACAACTCTAATTTACTAGAGTTTAGAAGAAATTTTGAATGCAGAACACTTTTTGAGCCAATTGGCTTAACTACAATGTCTGCAAAAAAAAGAGGCTATAATTGCAAAACAAAGATCAAAGACCACTAACAATGACTGATAAAATTACCAAATGATCAAATGCAATATAATGACCATTAACTACGATGTCTTTGCTTATGTTTATCACCCACTTGCAGGCATAGGTCTTGGTTTATCAGCAATCTTAGTTGTTGCTTGAAAATGTTAACATGATCGCAAACTATGTAATTTGTTTTATTTTATTTTTAATGTTATCGTTTTTATATTAGCCATTTGCTAAGGAGACTCTCAAAACTACATGTTTCACATTTATTAATACTTCAATTAATTTACTCTACTGCTTTGAGCTATAAAAATCCCTTAAATTTATAAAAAGTGAAATTTTCAAAATATCCTTAAATTTAACATTTCTTTAGGGGCTAAAGCAGACAAAATCGGTTTCAAAAAGTAAATTATAATACATTAAACTCAATTAATGATACTAATTGAGGTTAATATATTATAATTCATTAATTAGAGAGATTTTTCAATGTGGCCGGAACACGGGGTGGTACACCACATGACTCTATACAAGTTGTGAGATTTTTGTGTTAAAAAATTAATAATATAAAAAATAAAATTTCTCACCACTTATATAATCAGTCTTCTAGATACATTGAACAATCTCTCCACTAATTGAGTTTAATGTATTATAATTTGAGCTGGATTCTTGTATCAAGACAGGGGGTCCCCATCTAATAATTTTCGTTGAATTCAAATATAATTGAGTCTTGACTTGGAGTTTACCTTGAAAAATATAAACTTGGTAGAGGAAAGGCATTTGTACAACCATACTGCCTTTCTTCTTCATACATACTTCCCTCCTTGTTTCACTAATCCACTGTCAGTTGATTCCAAACACTAAACATGGCTGATGCGATCGTTTCCGTGCTGCTAGAGCGGTTGACTTCAGCAACTTTTCATTACATAGAAGATAAGGTGGAAAATGTTTTGGACGTTAAGAAATACGTTCAAGAATTCACTAGCAATCTCGAAGCTATTCAAGCTGTGCTTCAGGACGCAGAGCGAAGGCAAGTGGAGGAGGAAAGCGTGAGAAACTGGTTGGATAAGCTCAAGGAAATATCTTACCAGATGGTGGATGTGCTGGACGAGTGGAACTATGAGATTCTGAGGCAACAGGTTGAGAAGCAAGAAAGAGAAGGTGCAGCTGCTCTTGTTCCTGAAAAGAAGGTCAGATTTTCTGTTTCCTCTGGTTGCTTTTGTTTTGGCCAAGTCAGTCAGGTCTTTATTCGTCATGACATTGCTGCTAGGATAAAAGAGCTGAATGAGAGTTTAACTTTGATTTATAAGCAAAGAAAAATGTATCGGTTTCACATAGAGAAAGGCACTCAACGACTTGAACGACGGATAACTTCGTCTTTCGTCGATGTATCTAACATCTTTGGACGAGAAAACGAAAAAGATGTTTTGATATCAAAGTTGTCGACTGATAGTAGTGAACAAGGGAGGGGAACCCTTATCATCCCTATTGTAGGGATGGGGGGAATGGGCAAAACAACTTTGGCACAACTAGTATATAATGATCCCAAAGTTAAAACCCATTTTGAAAAAAGAATATGGGTTTGTGTGTCAGATCCTTTTGAGGAGATTAAGATTGCCAAAGCTATTATTGGTAATGACCCCTCAAGTTCAAATGAGTTGGACCATGTCTTGCAACGCGTGTCTGAATTCATTGAGGGCAAAAGGTTTCTCCTTGTTCTTGATGATGTATGGACCGAAGAGCGTGAAAAGTGGGAGCAATTAGAGGCAGCATTGATTCAAAGCGGTGCTAAAGGCAGTAGAATACTGGTGACAACAAGAAAACATGAGGTTGCTGATATGATGAGAGCAACAAGTCACATGATCAGTATGGGAGAATTGGGTGAACAATTTTGTTTGTTAATCTTCAATCACATGGCCTTTTATGGTAAGGAAGTCAACGAGTCCAATAAGTTTGAAGATATTAGTCGTGAAATTGTAAAGAAGTGTAAGGGTTTGCCTCTTGCTGCAAAGACTTTAGGTAGTCTGATGCGCAACAAGAGAACACGGAGAGAATGGCAAGATGTTTTGAGAAGTAAAATATGGGATCTAGAAGATGTCGAGCAAAAAGTTTTCCAACCACTGTTACTAAGTTATTATGATTTGACCCCAACAGTTAAATGTTGCCTATTATATTGTGTTGTTTTTCCTAAAGATTATGAGTTTGACAGAGATTGTTTGATTAATCTCTGGATGGCACAAGATTACCTTAATTCGAAAGGGAATAAAGATAAGGGAATGATTGGTCAAACATATTTTGATAACTTGGTAGCACGTTCTTTTTTCCAAGATTTTGAGAAAGATCGTGGCAGTGGTAAAGTTGTAAGTTGCAAAATGCATGATATTGTGCATGACTTTCTACAATTTCTCACCAAGAATGAATGCTTGATTATTGAGGGTGAGGTGCTACCAATGAAATAGCAGCATTGGGTGATAGGGTTCGCCATTTGACCTTAGCTTTAGTACCCAAGGGTCCACTTTCACCAGCTATCTCATCTTTCAATTGCAAAAATCTACGCACACTCACAACTTTTAATTGTGAAATAACTACAATAAGCTCAGAGTTTCTTTTGAAATTGAAATGTCTTAGGACATTAAATTTGAGTGGTGAGTGGGTGTATGGTAATGACTTCGAAGAACTTCCAGAGGAGATTGGACAATTGATACATTTGAAGCATATTGATTTGTCTGATAATGGTAATTTGAAGAAATTACCAGATGCTATTTGTGAATTATACAATTTGTGTACCTTGCGCCTTTTTGGGTGCCGCTCACTTGCGGAACTACCTGATAACATGAGAAAATTGATTAGCTTAAAACATCTTTATATTGAAGGATGTATTTCTCTCAAGTACTCACCAAAAGGGATTGGGAGGTTAACAAGTTTGCAGACACTGGATAAGTTTGTTGCGTGTTGCGGTGACAAGGAAGAAGCATTACAATTTGAAGATCTGAGAACCTTGAACCTTCAGGGTAGTCTCGTCGTACAGGTTTCTGGGGATGTAAAAGATGTGAATGAGGTTGAGAAAGCTCAATTGTGGGATCAAAAGAAACTTTTTCATCTCGGAATAGATTGTAGAGATATGCACTACAGGCAGACAAAAAGCAGTGTAGAAATATTGAATGTCTTACGACCGCACAAAGATTTGGAAGCTCTGGACATTGTTGGGCATACTGGGACCGCCTGGCCAATTTGGATGGCATCGTTAAACCACTTGAGAATCGTTACCATTGTAGGGTGGGAAGAGTGTGAATTTTTGCCTCCTCTTGGGAAACTTCCGTCCCTTGAAATACTGACCATAGCTAGGAAGCAGAGAGTGAGAAAGGTTGGTGGTGAATTTTTGGGAATAGAAGATCAAACATCATTCAAATCATCGCCATCATTATTCCCAAAACTGAAAGAACTCCGCCTTCGCAGAATGGATAACTGGGAAGAGTGGGAAGGCGTGGAAGGGTGGAAGAAAGAAGAATCTGAAATTACAATCATGCCATGCCTTTCTTACTTAGAAATTTATTTCTGCCCTGATTTAAAGACACTGCCAGACTTCCTTTGCAAAGTACCACTACAAAATCTTATCGTCAACAGATGCTCGAGAATCCTTGAAAAGCGTTGCGAACAAGGCAGTGGAGAGGAATGGCCCAAGATTTCTCATATCTCAAACATCCATTTTCTATCCGAAGTGAGGACTCCAAATCTAATGCATCCTGAAAATAGAAATTGGCGGACAGTGGATTATATTTCATAGTACGGACCCTTGGCCAGGTAATTGAACTGTTATGTAGATATTTATTTATGAGATTATTAATTGTCGCTGCCATTATATTTGTTATCTTACTTTTCTTTTAAATCTTCAGTTGATCTCCGGACATGATTTGTTAAAGGAGCAATGTCGATCAAGCGGTGACTCGCTAGGCATAATCTTCTCATAGCACATGATGATCATCAAGTTTAAATTGTCCTGTGGGGATATGTTTGACGAGGATTACTGATGCTGATGGGTAATTTCTTCTTTTGCATGTTGTTTTTTCTCCTTTTTTTCTTGTACCATGAGGGTTTAGGTTTATGTCCCATTTTCTTTTACATGTTTTTTCTTATTTTTTCTTGTACTATGAGGGGTTAGGTTTATGTCCCCCCTGACTAGGTGTAATTTTTTTATCGTTATCAATAAAATTTCCCTCGTACCGCCGAGGTTTTCTAAACAAAAAAAAAAAAAAAAGTTATTTTGACTTGTATGCATGAGCATTCTCAACGACTTAAGCAATGTTGTATTTATCGTTCTATCTACGAAGATTTTATTGGTTTTTTTTTGTCTTTGCTATCAATGGATGTCATACTCTTCGTCCTCCTTTCTTTTTATTTATTTATTTTTCTTCAGTTTATAGGTTTAGGGTTAAATTCTCTATTATATCAAATCAAATGTAACTTGTAAAGGTTTAATTTCGGTGTATTTGTAAACTTGTTTGGGTATCCAAACCAATGTTTTTTTTATTTGTTAGGCAAGCGATTTTGTTTAAGGAATGAATACTCATAACCAACTGAACTTCAAGCTTCTTACATATCAAAATTCCTTCATAAAATTTCTATATAATTCTCCAACGAAAGCGATTGTCTAGTAAGACACTTGTAACTCAAGTAGGTAAAGAGTGTTTACCTTTAGGAAGGTAATTTTCACTCTTTTTAGCTTCATGCGCCTCTCTTTATTTGATCATCGGATTGAATAAATCAAACGAAATCAACGGACTGAATTAAACAGGAATGTGCAAAGTTACAAACGGTGTGTGTTTATTATTTTTCTACCTTTAAATCATTATCTCCCCCACTATTGTTCATATTCGTATAAAATGAGAAAAATGACCATCGATGTGCTAGTTATGGGCCAGAAGCCCAAATTTATTTGGGTTACATGGATGGAACTATGCCCAAAGTATCGTTGAGGTCCAAACAATATTATCTGCTACCTGCCGGTCGAGTCAAAACAACCATTTTCGTCTCCAACACACTCTCTCTCTCTCTACTGTCTCTGTAGACTGCATCAATGGATCGAGCACAGCTTGTTCTGCTAGGGCTTCCGCTCTTCCTCTTCTGCACGGACCTCCTAAACCTCTTCACTCCGCCCCCTCCTCCGCCCCACAAGCCTCCCCACCACCACCATCCCCACCTCCAACACCAACACCAACACCAACCTCCTCCAGTCGCCAAAGAAACCCTAGAGTTTCCCTCACAGGTATTTCAATTTGAATTCCTCTTAAATTCCCAATCTTTGTTGCAATTGATTGCATATTTATATCGTATTCTAATTCCCGTCTGTAATTCTTTTGTTTGATCGGATTTCAGAAACCAAGCGCTTTCGGTGCCATCGGCGTCGGCAGCACGGTCAAGATTAGCTTCTGCACTTCTTGCTCTTACAAGTAATTCTCTTGTTTCTTTTGTGATTTCTTGAATTGGGGTTTTAATTTTATGTCGAATTATGATGTGGGATAATAGAAGATCAACTTGAACAGCTATTCATTTGAAATTGAATTGGTTATTCGGATCCTGGGGTTTATCAGTTAACCCTGTAAAATGCTCTTGATTTATCTTTTAGCTCCGAATTAGTGCTCCGAGAAATATGTGGTTTTCTACTTGTTTTGCTCTGAACATGTTAGATTGGATCATCGGGGTTGGGCTATATTTACTTATCGAAAGAATTTGCATTTGGTAGGGGGAATGCGGTAACAATGACGAAGATGTTGGAGGCTTCTTTTCCTGGAATCCATGTTGAACTTTCGAACTATCCCCCGCCCCTTCCAAAGCGTTTGGTCAGCAAGCTGGTTCCGGTTGCTCAAGTTGGAGTTTTTGGGATTATAATGGCGGGCGAGCAGATATTTCCTATGTTGGGGATTACGACACCTCCTGCTTGGTATTATTCTCTTCGTGCAAATAGATTTGGTACCATTGCATCCACTTGGCTTCTTGGCAATGCATTGCAGTCCTTCCTCCAAGGCACTGGTGCTTTCGAAGTTTACCTCAACGATGAATTGGTGCGCAGACCCCTTTTTCTTCTTGCGGGGAGCTAGATTATCATTTCCCATTCGTTTAATTCCTTTTGGTGAAAACAGCTTTTGGCCTTTTCAATAATAACGCTTGTCTTTGATTGATGCATACGCGTGAGTTCTAGCTTCTGTTCTTTTGTATGTTGCAGGTTTTCTCAAAGCTGAAGGAGGGAAGATTTCCGGGAGAGATTGAACTAAGAGATGCCATTGCGAGTAAGTTGGGTAGTTCAAGAATCACAGACTCGGCTTTATGGTCCTAGTCTAGTAGCTGGGTTTGTAAAGTCCAAATGCTTGCGGTTGGAGTTTCAAGCTTGCATACTGGCTCGCATACGTGCTTAGTAGGTTCAAAGGCTTCGAGCTAGGAGTTGTAATGAATTGTTTCCCATCACTGTTACAAAGTTATGAACGATAACCTGGGCCTGCTTGCGTCCTGAGACGGTCATTGATTCGGTTTAAAATCGATTTCAACTCTATTAAGCCTGTTGATATAGTTTCATTTCGCGGAATATAGTATTCCGTATCTACTCAAAGTATGTATTCTTCCTGGTTTGCGGGTATTAGTATGTTTTTTGGGTACTTGATCGTGTACTCGCTCTAAGTTCTGCTCTGCATACCGGAACTGCCTCGGATGAAATGGAACTTGAACGTGCATTTCAATTTTCTTGAGTTTATGGAGGTGTTTTGGATACGTAATGCATGTGTTTTATTTTGTTCAAAACTTCTAACTCAAGGGAGATGACGGTTTACGTTTCATATCAAGAAATAGCCGAAGACGGTGGTTATATTGCCAACAGAATTGCAATGTAAACAAGTTTCAGTAGTGTTTCGAGTTGTAACTGTACGTACTTGTAAAGAACTTCAACTGACACCGCGGGACGATAATACACGATAATACGATGTGATGACAACGCTGCACTTCAAGAATGATATCCGAAAGGAAACCAAATCACATTAGTATCCATATAAACAGTCACAATATGTCCTATAAAATCTAAACGGCAAGAACATCTTGTGTAATCCCGTCGTTCGAAAGCCATATGTTCTTAGAAATGAACATAAGTAGAGTGAATAAGAGCACCACGTCATACGACACAAAACATGGCAATCGTTATCATATCTACATCATCTCTTAGTACTTTATTTTATTTGTTTATTTTACCGCGGGAGTGGTTCAATCGCCACCGCCACCATCAACCGTCCACTGAATCCAATCCTTAACCATCACAACACTTACCGCCGCCACATCATCATTGCCACCGCAGTTTGGTCTCGCCTCTGCCGCCAGCATCACCTAGTAGCAGTATTCATGCTACTAAGTTTCTTCGTTTCCTTGTCAAATCTAGATTCTGCTTATATCGCGCCCAAACACAAATGTTGTAAGCCAATTGATCGCCACATAGAATCTGTTCCTCCAGCTTATGACTCGGGTTAAATATGCCGAGCGCCAAACAAACCAACTGAAGAACCCAGCCATAGATACGCCTTTTCCCGCCTGCAAATATGTGCGCTACATAAGGTCAGTTATCTTTAGCTTAAAGCGCGAGAGCAGAGGCTTCGAAGTAGCTTGAAATTCACCTTGCTCTGTCTGAGGTCCACAAGAGCCTTGTATCTCCCCAGAGTCGCCATGCTTCCTAAATGCTTGTACACAAATGGTTCCTCGTATTTATACTCTCTTGCGGCGTTGGCACGTCCTCCACCAGCTTTGCCAATTTTGTTCAGTAAATTGGCCAAATACTTTCCTTGCCTCTCTGCAACCTTCATATATTTTAAACAGAGATGCATAAAGATCATTTCAGTTGCCCTTTAACAGCAGACCATAAAATCTCAAATAACTTTTAACAAGAAAATACCTTCATTGAATTTGCCGGTTGGCTAGACCTTCATAGTATAATACTACCATTACACAAAGTTTATGGACTTTTGCACACATGGGAGATGGGATTCTATGAGAATAGATAATTCGAACAAATCCTAACCTGGGCCAAGGCAGGAAGAGTTGGTTTTCCGGTACTTTCAACAAAACCGCTACAGTCTCCAATTGAATACACATCCTGCACGTCAGGAACACGCAGCCACTCGTCAACACCAATCCTGCAATTAGAGAAACGGTTCACAAAAAATTATGCTAACAGGATATGTCATTCTAAAGCATACTAAACAATTTGGGTAGTGAAATAGGGAGCAAGAATGGGAACACATGGACCAAATCATACCGAAACCTTATGATATGAAAAGAAATATGACATTCAAAACAATTAAAGACAGATGGTATTGAAATGAAAGATTTGTGTTGCAGAGGAGGAAATGGAACAATATAAACTGAATTTGGGGCGAAAAGTGAAGTAAAAAGTTCACCACAAGGTACCGAAATTTATGAAAACTCATGAGGTTCTAAGATGAAGATCAGAACAATACTATACCATAAGCTTAGATTTGTTAGAAACTCCAGTAGTTGAAAGGAGGAACAAACTCATTTCATTAGAAACAAATTAAAGTATTACCTTCCACCAGGAGACTTTGTAAGCGGCAATGAGTTCACCAAAGGTGATGGACCAACACCGGTAGACCATACCAAAAGACCATAAGGAACCTCTGTGCCATCATTAAGAATTATTTTCTTATCCTTGACATCCTTAACGATCCCACGGACAAGACGAACTCCTGACTGAGAGAAACAATCAAATGTGCAATGAACACACCCAGGGATTAGTGGGAAAACTGTAGCAATCCAACTGTAGTTTGTGGGAGATAATCTCTGCGAACCAGTCTTAGTTCTTTAATACAACAGGTGGTGTAAGGATTTGAAGTTCCCATTATGTGCATAAGAACGATTCTCAGAGATGATCTCATTTGACTAATAACAGGGCAATAGGTTCTGTTATGAATAAAATATCTCTTACCTTCGTCAGTTGTTTCGTAGCATAGTGCCTCAGCCGATCATCAAATGATGATAATATCTCATTTGCCTATGAAGACAAGAATATTACTAAGTTTCCATATAGAAATCTACTTACTCAGTTGCATGGACTACATTTTTATCTAATAATTCTGCAAAAGATAAGACATGAAGGAGTATTCAACATGGTTGAATCTCGAGGCGAGGTAATGAACAAACCTCAATTAAGGTAACATGAATATAATTTTTCACATGAGCATATCGTTCCTGAACATCTCTCTGAATAAAGTCACTAAGTTCACCGCTGAACTCAACTCCCGTGGGACCACCTCCGACAACAACACAGTGTAGGAGTCTGCTTTTCTCTTCCTCTGAAACACCTGCCTCCAAACCAAAATCAAACGAAATACACAATGAGATCTCATATCATGTGATTGTCGCTCTCTAGTAATTAAATCCAACTGCAGCAGTATACCAGGCACATCCGACAACATCAAGTTTAGGAGCAGCTTCCTACGGATTTCCTGGGCATGAGAGACTTCACGAAGAAAAATTGCATGTTCATGTACACCTTGTATGCCAAAAGTGGTTGGCATTGCTCCCAAAGCAATTACCAATTTGTCATACGCAATTTCAAACTTCCATGGCTTCAAGGGTTCAGCCCCATCAGTTACCGTCTCGCATTTCACCTTCATTTCCCAAACCAGCATTTTTGCAAGTAAGGCAATCTTAAAATCCAAATATTCTCCAACATTTTGTATATTCTCTCCACCAAAAAAAAAAAAAAAAAAAAAAAAACTCAAATCTTTGTAGCACTTGAATCAAATAATGAGCTAAAATTAAGCCACTTTCAGCTGAAAAATCATATTCTTTTATCAAAGATTAACAACACAGAAGCTAATTATTTGATCCACATTTTTCATTACAGTGTACAGAAAAGCAAAAGTTCAATTAAGTAATGATTACCCATTGCAAACTTAACCCAAAAGTTTCAAAATTTTACCAAGAAAGTCACTAATCCCGTAAATCTAAAGCTACCCAATTCACTATTTACTATTCAAGAACAAAAAACTAGGAACGAATTGACGTACCACATGCTTATCAGGATCGAGGCCGATACAATTGGAGAGGAAGAAATACGACCCGGTTTCTCTCGAAATAGCGGGTTGGATCCTCGCAATGGGCTCGGCTACGGACCGGAACTCCAGAGTTCCGACGCAGGTGGAAGCCAGCAGCGGCGTGAACACCATGTGGTTCCTCGGCGACACGCAGACGATGTCGTATTGCTCGGTGTCCAATCCTTTCATAAGCCGGCACCCGGCCCAGCCCGAGCCCAGGACCACCACCCTCGGCTTGTCGCCGGGCATCGTGGGGCCCAGACCCGAGTAAAAGGTCGGCGGTTGAGGGGTCGGAGTCGGAGCCGGAGTCTCATGGATCGGACTCGGTCGAGCCGGCTCAGAGCTGAAGCGGGAGAGCAGAGTGTAGGAAAACGGGTCGGAAATTCTGGGTCGGGCCGATGATCTGGCGGTGGTGGCTGAGACTTGGATGAGGCTCCTGAACCAAGACATGGCGTTCGGATGGGTTACGACGTCGTTTAGTGGAAGTTAAGAGTAGAAAGTGGCTCTGCAGCACATATACGTGAGCTTGACGAAGGTGGAGAAAGTTCCAATAATTTGGTGTCGTTTTCTGCGGTTGTGATGAATCTGTGGCAGGTCGTTTTACGAACTTGACACGTCAACAGTGGCCTTCGTTCTCGTGGCAGTTACATTCGTGTTACAGTTGGCTTGGCTGAAACGTTCGGACAAGCTGTAATTCTATCCGTACCGTTTCTAGCGTTTCCTTGGTAAATCCGTAAAGACTTGGAGAACAACCGAGTTCAAGAGAAATTTTTTAGCATATCAAAAACACCGCCTAGTACACGTGTCATTAAATAACAACCAATTATTTTAGAATTCTTGATTTATCGGACAGTGTTTTTTATACACTAAGTTCATCTCTAAATGATATGCTAAATTTAAACATAAAATTTAAATTTAACAGTTTATGTGGCACTTTATATGTCAAATTTTAAACATAAAATAGAAATTCATATTTATTTTCTTTTTATTGGTAATGAAAGAAAATGAATTAAAAGGTATACAAATATTTAAACATTGCATTGGTAATGAACAATAAAAAGGCAATGCTTTAAACAAATAAAAAATTAATAGAAAGCATTTAATAATATATTAAAAGAATTTGAAAGTGCTGTCAAATTTGGCAGTAAGGGGTAGAGATGTCATTTAATGTTATGTCACATTAGATCTAATATATTGGTTGGAAAACATTAATGCTATCTTTTTTAACTATTATTGCTGATAAACACTTTGACATCTCCTTTAAAAATGCTCTATACAAAATTTCCAAGTTCAACATCATACACCAGGAAATTACCACGTTGAATTGTAATATGTTACATGTTTTCGAGATTTTCGGCTATACTTTGAGCTCTCATTAATCTATTACATTCTAGTAAAAAATATAAGGAATAAGATTTAATGAAAAAAATGTCAGATCATAAAATACTTTGAAGATACAATGAAAAAACAGTGAATAATACAATAAAGTTGATCCACTTTCCCAAATTAAAAGTGACATAAGCTAGAGTACTTATTCTACATATGTTTTCTTCTTATGAGCACAAAATTTCAGTGTACAGGTAAGTATTATTAACTACTAGCCTAACTTTGTTTTGTTTTGTTTTGCAGAGGTTTGTGCAGTTAAGAAGAGAGGCGTTGGGTAGGGACTTGGATTGTCTGCCCTCCAATTTCTGTGTCCTTCTCGTGCCCTCCTATTTTTGTGGTCACGGTTAAGCCACGTCAACATTTTATATTATTATTTCTTTTTGTTTTATTATTTTTATAAAAAAATAATATAAAATATTGACGTGGCTTAACCGTAACCACACAAAACAGGAGGGCACGGGGAGGGCACCTAAATGGGAGGGCAGACAATCCAAGTCCCGTTGGGTAGAGATAGAGTGGGGTGTGATGCTTTGATGACATATAGGCGAAGAAGAGAAAAATAAACATAAAATTCTTTTGGTGCTACTACCTTGATGTCCATAATTTTTCTTTTCTGATATTTTTATGGAATTATGAACATAGACCAAATCGTCTTTCCACATTTTTTTAATTAACAAAAAAAAATTTGTCAACAGATAATATAGATTACAGTCCTCGCTTATTTAATGTAGCTAAAAGTTAGAATAAGAATATTTTGAGTACAATTTTATTTGAGATATAACTTGGGTGAACTCAATGAAAAAAAACGAAAACGCGTTATATATGAGGCAATATATTAGCCTTTTCAAGCAATATATTTCATTTTTAAGTTTTAGCCCTTCCGGCCGCCGCCTCCTTTGGATTTGACTCTTGAGGAGGCGGGGGAGGGATCATGCCCACGATTGGCAGTTGGGTCGTTGTAGTCATTTGTCGTCACCCTCAAAGACCTACCCTCCATCTCCATGGCTATCACCACCTCATCATCTTTAGTACATAACCAAGCACCAACAAAGGAAAGAAGAAAATTAGCCTCCATTGCATAATATTTAGTACATTACAACGATAAATAAACACCTTGTTAACAAACTAATTACAAAAGATATATGTATATTAGTATATACAAAATAATGTTTTATTGTCAAACTTATATTGCCTTATAAACACTAATGTTATGAGACCTATATTGTGAACATAAAAGGCACACTTAGCTAATCAAGAATCAAAGAAAACAATACATATCCTTATATACCCTCTATCTTAGGGTCAAAGAGAAAAAATGACACTGCTAATTAGTACAAGGACTTCTCCACCCATTTCTTTGGCTCCTGTCTTTATTTCTCGCTTCATGTGACATGGAAATGAGAATATTAATTGTCCTTATGTCTCACTACATGATAAAGGAACAATAAGGTCATCTCTAACTGAGGGCTGGCCAGAGGGCTCGTTTGAGCCCTCTAGCCCTCCAAGATTCCCCAAGATATTAATATTTTAATGAACAATACAGGGCCATATTTGCCTCCGTCTCCAACCGAGGGCCAGAGGGCCAAAGGGCTCGTTTTAGCCCTGTCACAAAAAACCGTCTCCAACCGAGGGCCAAATGGCCATAGGGCCAAACATAATTTATTATTTAAAAACTACAATTTAATGTTGTATAAATGGCCTAGGAAGTTATACGAAAAAAATAGAATTGAAAAAAAATATGAAACAAATTTTGTGAAATAGAAGTTATAGGAAAAAAAATATGAAACAAATTTGATTCATATGAAAAGGAAAAAAAAAAGGGAAAAAAAGAAGTTTAAATTCATTAAAAAAAAATAAAAAAAAAGTTTAAATTCATTAAAAAAAAGGCCTAATAATACAACGGCTACTAGCCGTTATATTAAAAAACATTTCAAACTATTAGTGTAGGTTATAACCGACACTAATAGTAGAACTATTAAAAAAAGAATATCTTTAATGTTGTCGGCTATAACCGACAGCAATAGGAAATCATTAAAAAAAAAATAGCCAGCCCAGGGCTAGCTGGCTGGCCGAAAGCAGCCAGCCCTCCAGCCCTCTCCGATCCCGTGGGACCCTCCCAGATTTCAGAGCCCTCTGGCCTAGCCCTCGGTTGGAGACGGTTTTAGGGCTATTTTCGGCCCTCTGGCCCTCTGGACCCTTCGGTTGGAGATGGCCTAAACGGGGATATGGAAGTTCATCTCCAACGAAAGGATCTAGGGAAAATGGTTTAAACAAAGTTTCAATTAGTGTGTGAGCAGTGTCCATAAGCACAACTAGCAAATATACAAATAATATATAAAAGAGACAAAACACATATATATGGATGCATGAGATGAGAGTCAAGAGACTATACGACCATGAATGCGCAAACCCAGCTGGTGTTGCACACACTTCAACACCCCCCAACCCAATTCCAAAACGCAGGCAACGGATACCTGACGCTTGCTGATCAATAATGAATTATTTATTCCTAGATTTATATTCTTTATATTAAATAATAGTAAGGTTCATTTGTATATCGTAACGAGACAAAATATACAGAGTATTATAGAATTAATTTCCAACATAATAATCCTCCAATGGTTAAGATTGGAAAAGAATAGCAAATTCAATGGCTTTGGAGATGATTGTTTTTATGCACCAGTTGAAGCACGGTAGGAGAAGACCTGCTTGCAACGCGTTTCATATCCTCTCTCTTCACATGATCAATGAAGATCGATGCACAGAAAGAAGGGTATGAAACTCGACTCGTTGCGGCTAAGTTTTACGCCAACAAGTGGTTGAAGTGGATATAGGTAGAGAGAGACATATACGGCGGCATACCTGAAAATAGAATGGTGTTCCGAGCAGAGGAAGATATTACAGCGAAGGCAAGCAAGAGACACAAGCACAGCTGAGTACCTCCAAAGCCCATCTCTCTCTCTCTCTCTCTCTCTCTCTCTCTCTCTCTCTCTCTCTCTCTCTCTCTCTCTCTGTGGTTGGCTCTGATATGATTATATACAAGATGTTGGAAAATATTATTATTTAGTTTATTTTAATGTTTGGTATTTTGGGCTTAGCCCGTTAGAATTAGGTTTTGTTAGAGATTAGGGTTAGTTTATTATAAATAGGTTGCTTTGTTATTCATTAGAACATGTCAGTCACAATGTAGTCTCTTAGGGTTTTGTAGCCGTTTCGTCATTCTCGTTCTTTTAATAATATTCTTATTATTTTGTTAGTCTTATTCGTTGCTCACTCTGATATTCAACTTGGTATCAGAGCAGGTTTGATCATTCGGGATTTAATCTGCTTGTTTGATATTCATTTGTCTATCGCCGTCTGAATACGCACGTTGAATCTGCATCTCCCACCAGCATCGACACCACCTGCATATGCACCGCACCGTCTCATTAGCACCCTATCCGTTTTTTGCACCCTTCAGCAGTCGCACTGTATCCGCACCAACTCGGTCTGCAATTTGGAATGGAATTGCTGCATTGTTTTACGTGATCAGGAGAACACCCCATGTAAAAAAAGGAAAGGAAAAGCAAAGCAAAGAAAAGGAAAAAACAAGAGAAAAAGGAGGAAAAAGTTTTTGAAAAAATTGTTTGAGGTTTAGGCTCATGTGGGAAAGGCAAATAAAAAATAAAAAATTTGGTTGGATTTTTTTTTGTTTGTTTGTTCGGAGATTGGTATCGGTATTGGCATCAGCATTGGCACTAGCATTGGAATTTGGAGTTTTGCATCCACATCTACTTTGGCAAACCCATGTCGTGAACCGCCATGAGTTTGACGGGGGGGGGGTGGTTGGAAAATATTATTATTTAGTTTATTTTAATGTTTGGTATTTTGGGCTTAGCCCGTTAGAATTAGGTTTTGTTAGAGATTAGGGTTAGTTTATTATAAATAGGTTGCTTTGTTATTCATTAGAATATAAGTCAGTCAAGATGTAGCCTCTTCGGTTTATGTAACCTTCTTGGCAATTCAATTTAATAAAGTTTTATATTCAGTTTGTTCGTTTATTCGTTGCGCACTCTGATATTCAACTCAAGAAACATCGGAGGCCAAATATTTGCTCCATTTATAGGTTGAATAATACTACTACGGAGAGACTTTTCGGCATCCTTTATCATGATGTGTATTATTTCACTCATATTATCATACGTATATTTATTATTTTTATTAATATATCTTATAATTAGAGATATATGAACCCTAAACCCTAAACATTTGTCACGTATTATTCTACGTGCTATGCATTAAAAGTTGACGTTAACAGATCATGCCATCATGGTTGTCACGTTCACATATGAATGAACAAAGGCAGACTCCTGGGTGAGTGCCTCTTTTAAAAGTCAACGGTGATGATGTCGATCCCCTCCTTTAATTACCAGACTAGCCGACTAGCCTTCATGCACACGCGTATGCGTGTGCAAAATATATTTTTTGAATTACGGCATGCTATGTGTGAATTACACGTTTTAAATCATGTTAGAAGAAAAGTCAAATATTTGAAGTAAACGAATAATCTTAGATCATGCTAGAAGAAACCCCTTATAAATTAATTAAAGCAGTTGAATTCACATAATAAAATAAATCTTTATATTATTAGCTCATTGTGAGGCAAAACCCACCCCCTCCCCCTTAGTGTAGATAATATTGTTTGTTAAAAAAAAATTATTTGACAACTGTTGTAAACATTCCTAGTTTAAGTATGATTGTGTAAATCCTAGATAAGATTTGATTCTAGTTATCATTTCCTATTACAACTTGTATTACTTGGAGAAGAAGGAATATCTTCTCTCCCTTTACTACTATAAATAAATGCACAATGTAGGAGGGATAACAACACACACATTGCCCTACAATTCTACAAACACACATCTCTCTCCTCTCTCTCTCTGCCGCCGGCCCTAGTCCCTCTGTCAGATAAAATAGACCACAACACGTTATCAGCACGCTCCTACCGCTGCGCTTAGGAATCTGACGTTGGAAATTTTTTCTGCATCAAACCAGTTCATCCATATCATCACGCAATCAGGTTCTTTCCAAACAACGGCTTTTAACTCGATATTTTGCAAGCCCTGATAGCATGAACATTCACCATGATGCATGACCCAACTTTACGTTTTACGTATTTTAGATTCTACATAAAATTGTGTATGCTTCATCAATCAAAAATTGCTACAATTATGTGAATTTGATATTTGCCATGAATTGAATCTTACATATGTACATGCATTGAAACTATTATTTGCATATGCATCAAAGTAAATATGTGATTCATTGAATTATATATGCATCTAATTAAAAAAAAAAAAAAAAAAAAAAATTTTAGGGCTGCACACAGCAGCCCATTCCCCTCTTCTCACCCCGTGGGCCTGTAATCCCACCCGAGGGTTCTTGGCCTATATTTTTAGGCCCCGAGATTTTATTATTTAATTTTTTTTAAATAATATGGGTTTTTTATATTTTCACCCACACTTTAATTTGGCCCCGAAGACCAAAAATAAATTAATTCACTTATCATTATACAATATTTCTGCATATATTTGTTTGCATATATATTTGTGTTTGCCTGCAGGAATATATGAACCTGAAGTTCATAATTACTTTGAAACCCGAAGTTTCTTATACACATGCCTTGTTTTGAAAACCCGAAGTTTTCACTTAAATATATCACCCATGAAAAACCCGAAGTTTTTCATGCAAAATTAAACCAATACATGTCTATTAGAACCTGTATGTTCTACTCATATGTGAATGGATTGATTTTTCTCCATTACACTAACCACATCTTGTTCATCCATTTTGTGATAGGAACATGTCGAATTTGAACAAACTCGACTTCACCGCTTTGGAGGTTTCTGGAAGGAACTACCTCAAGTGGGTTCAAGATGTGAAGCTCCACCTCACTGCAAAGAACTTGCGTCCTGCTATTGAAGAAGCAACAGATAAACCTGTTGGCGAGGCTGAAAAAGCCACTGCTATGATCTTCATTCGAAGACATATCCATGACGCTCTACAAACTGAGTACCTTGCTGAGGAGGATCCACGTGCATTATGGGTCGCTTTGGCTGATCGTTTCGATCACCAAAAGGACATATTCTTGCCTGAAGCAAGACACGACTGGCAGCACTTGCGCTTCCAAGACTTTAAGTCTGTGAATGAATATAATTCTGAAGTTTGTCGAATCCGATCACTTCTCAAGTTTTGCAATGAAACTTTGACTGAAGAGGATCTCCTGGAGAAGACCTACTCGACCTTCTCTGCTTCTAATATTGTCCTGCAGCAACAATATAGAGCTCAGAAGTTCACTAAGTTCTCGGATTTGATCTCTGTTTTACTTCTTGCTGAAAAGCAGAACCAGCTGTTGATGAAGAATCATCAAGCTCGACCTACTGGGGCTACTGTTGTGCCTGAAGCACATTATAGCACTAATCAGCACCCAAAACGCCAAAAGAGGCGTGGTAAGGGCGGCCAGAAGCCATCCCACCAAGGTCAACAGAGCCAAGGCCCATCCAAGGGAGGAAACAAAGCCCAGAAGCGCCCAAACCTCGCTCCCAAGGCCCCGAACTTCAAGAATAAGGGCAAAGCACCTGCCACAATGAATGACGATATGTGCTATCGTTGTGGTTCCAAGGACCATTGGTCCCGTATTTGCCGTGCTCCCAAGAAGGTTGTGGATGCATATCATTCTCGTCGTACGAAGTTTGAATCAAACTTCCTGCAAGTGGACGAACCGGAGACTACAAAGATGGAGGTTTCTGATTTTCAGGAGGATACCACTCCTATGGAAGATTAGACTCTTAGACATAGACTTATTTTTCAGTTAAAATAAGACAATTGGGGCCGAATTCCACCTAGTGGCCGAACCCCACCTTGTTTTTTGGTTGATTTTGAACAATTTTCCTTTATGTTTTGGATTATTAGTTGGCGATTTATTTTGGATATTAAGTTTTTTCCTTGAATAAATGAAATTATTTTGAATTGATACTTGTTTTTATAAACTTTTATGCATGTGACCGATTCAAATTAATTTTTCATTCTAGGTATGACTAGTGGGAAAGTTAGTTGTCTGGCAGATAGTGCAACCACGCATACTGTTTTGCGTGAACGCATCTATTTCACTAACTTCGTACCTAAGAATGCACCTCTGACAACCCTCTCAGGCCCATCCAACCTGATCGAAGGATACGGTAAGGCACGTATAATGTTGTCCAATGGTACAATCTTGACCATTGCTGAGGCACTCTATTCTCCACGTTCCGGAAGAACGTTACTAAGTTTCAAGGACATTAGAGATAACAATTACCACGCTGAAACCCACGTAGAAAACGGAGTTGAATTTCTGTGCGTAACTTCCTACGAATATGGCCAGAAGCGTATTCTAGAAGAAGATGGAGCGTAACCCGAGTGGTCTGTATACTACGACCATACGCCCCATAGAATGCCACTATGTGGCCGGCCCTACCACAGGGACCGCGCACGAAATTACACTTTGGCATGATCGTTTGGGACATCCTGGACGAATAGCGATGCGCCGTATCCTCAAAACTTCACACGGGCATCCACTAACCCGAAGCTTAGGTTCGATCCATGAAATTGCATGTCAAACATGTTCTATGGGAAAGCTTATTACTAAGCCTTCTTATGACAAGATTCGTTCGAATCCTCCCATTTTTCTACAACGGATTCAGGGGGACATTTGTGGACCGATTCAACCTCCCTGCGGACCATTTAGATATTTTATGGTTTTGGTTGACGCTTCTACACGTTGGTCACACGTGTGCTTGTTGTCCACAAGGAACGCTGCATTCTCCAAACTGTTGGCTCAGGTTATCAAGCTCAGGGCTCACCACCCTGATTATCCGATCAAATCTATTCGATTGGATAATGCTGGAGAATTCACATCTAAAACTTTTGATGACTATTGCATGTCGGTTGGGGTTGAAGTTGAACATCATGTACCCATGTTCACA